AGACATGTCAGATTACGCAAGTTCATTCTTGCCTTTTCTTGAAGATTTAAACGTTAATGATCATAGACTGAAAGTTTAAGACTAACTTAATTTTCATGCTTACAAGTTCATATTTTATTATCTCAACCATACTTGCTTACGGACCTACGCAGTCTCGGTCAAGGATTTATCTTGGATCATTAGGTCTTGAGGATCATAGCCTAAGATTTAACCTTTGACAACTCTGATTTAGCAACCATATTGCATATACATGCTAACACGTACAAATTTACATAAGAATATAATTGAACAAAAATACCAGGACCAGTATAAAAGAAAATTACCCAAACTACTCTATATCGATCTATCTAGTTTTTTATTTTTATATTTTTGGTACGATTGAGTCTATATAAGAGGTAAGATAGAGCCGGATAGTGTTATTGCCTTGGTGTTAACGTAAGCTCTAATGATGGACGAAATCTCATACGTTTTTCCCCGAATCGAGGTAGGAGGTCTCATGGACTGCATCAACATGAATATTGTATAAAAGCCAAATGGCTGCAGTACAACGAGTTTCATCCGTTTCATCGACCAACGAATCTCTTTGTTATGCAATTTCATCCGAAACTAAATTTCTCATCGTATCTGGAATATATTTGTTTCTAATAATTATTTAATATTGAATTTCATTTTACATGTAACATAATCTCATTCGACACTCCGTAGAAGTTAATACTACCGGTTGCATTAATGTCAGGATATTACTAGTTTATTTTATAATAATATAAAAGAACAAACAAGCATGTAAAAAATTATCATGTAATTAGTCCTGTAAAATACCTTATAAATTATATATATTTGTAACAACATATATAGAATTTAATTGAATAAAATATATATAATAATTATATTTTAACTTAATAATCTTCGCACATTAAAACTTTACATAAATGAATAATTAATTTAATTGTTTTAGTTTATTAGCGCTCACTTCTGGTTATTCGTATTCTTCGTCTTAAGCTTACCTCTTATTCTCTTCTCGCCAAATGGATTTTCAACACAGAGCTGGTGGAAAGACGGGCTCTGGAGGCGTTGCCTCTGAATCCGAGGCCAATCGTGATAGACGTGAAAGGCTTAGACAATTAGCGCTGGATACTATTGATCTTAATAAAGATCCTTATTTTATGAAGAATCACCTCGGGACATATGAATGCAAGCTCTGCCTAACTTTGCACAACAATGAGGGGAGTTATCTAGCCCACACCCAGGGTAAGGTTTTTTATGGTGAATTTTATGCGTGACGTTGCCTTTTTAATACGTATATTTTACTAATTTTTAGGTAAAAAACATCAGTATAACCTTCAAAAACGTGCTGCCGAACAAGCCAGAGAGTCTCCTGCTGCCATGCAACCTGAAAAAGCTAAGGTTGAGCCAAAAAAATTTGTAAAAATTGGACGCCCTGGATACAAGGTATAGCTATTTTGGCCTAAATTTGTGTAGAATTTTGAATTACATTGATATGTAAAGACTTTATACCTTTAAGGATTAACAATTAATAAAACTGCTTATTGAGTTAATGAATATATGTAAACTAATCCCTTATCCATTCTTCTATCACTTGTATGACCGCTTTGAATTAGGTTTTTTTTCTTGGGTTTCACTAGGGTCATTTAAATTCCTATTGACTACAATCATAGACTCTAGATGAGGAAAAGCCACAAATTTAAGGCTTGATAATGTACTTTTAGGTGAATTTTTTTATAACTAACCCTCTACGAATATCCCATCTGTTTAATTTAGTGTAGTTAGTG